ACCGGCCTGATTGCTCCGGCGGACGCTGTGTCTCTCGAAGCGGCGGCGCCGTATACGGGTGCAGCGCTGCCCGCTCCAGAGCCCAGCGCCGGTCTGGACGAGGCCTGATGCCCAGGTAGTGAAGGGGCTGCGTCTCAACCCACGGGCCCTCCTGCCTTTCTCTGGGGACGCGAATCCCACCCCTGCCTGCCAATGGTGTCAAACTGGTTTGGTTGGTTTGACTCGCACTTGGAATCTTCCCGGCGCTGGATGCTGGTTTCGGTGTCCACTTACTGCTCACACCAGCCTGACTGAAATGTAAGACACCTTTGAGGGGCAAAGAACCCGTGAGCCAGGCCTTGTCCACACTTCAAGGGATGTCCGTATGTCACCGACTCGCTGTTTAACCAATAAGCATCACCTTGTCGGTTAATGGTGTCAGTGACACTCAGCCAGTCCTTGAGGGGCGGCTTTGCTGCGGGTAACTGTGTAATCAGTAGTTATATGGTTACCTACTTAGCCGACTCTTAACATCCCTACTTACACGTGGTGGTGTGAAAGTCACGCCGAAAGCTCCCTCCCCCTACATCTCCTTTTCTGTCTCCTGTAGTTCCCTGGAGGAAACGACAACTACCTAGCCATCACGGGGGCGGCCCACCCCTTCCTGTCGGGGGCGGAGGTGAGAGGTGCTGAGGCCAGGAGTGGAAAACGGGAGATGGATTTGGGAAGGGGGCCGAGCAGAGCCCATGGATGGAGGCTGGAGCTGGCCCATGGGAGATACGGGCTCACCTGGAACTGAGCAAGGAGCAGAGGCAGCTAGAGGAACCCAAGATGTTCTGTTGCCTGAGGAGGCTGGGGCTTGTCCTGTCGGGGGCGGAGGTGAGAGGTGCTGAGGCCAGGAGTGGAAAACGGGAGATGGATTTGGGAAGGGGGCCGAGCAGAGCCCATGGATGGAGGCTGGAGCTGGCCCATGGGAGATACGGGCTCACCTGGAACTGAGCAAGGAGCAGAGGCAGCTAGAGGAACCCAAGATGTTCTGTTGCCTGAGGAGGCTGGGGCTTGGGGGCTGCCTGCCATCACGGTGGTCGCCCGCTGGGTGTGCTGGTCCCTGGTGCTGTGGGACTTGCAGAGAGGTGCTCGGGGCGAAGTGGTGGGGGTGTCTTTGCCTCAGAGATGTTATAGCCATGTTGCTGTTCTGAAGGAAGAGTGGGACCCCTGGGGGTCTGGCTCACTGAAGGGATCTCTCTGAGGGAAGGCTTAAAAGATGGGGCATGCTACAGATTCTGACCCTGGCCTGGGGAGGAGCAGCAGCGGGTACTCAGGTGAGGGGGTGGCCTGGCCAGAGGAGGGCAGCAGTGGGTACCAGGAAGACGGGGGCCCGGGTTGGCCGGAGCAGGGGGCACTGACTCTGCATCTCTCCCCTTTCTGCAGACGTTCCACACGCCTAGCCTGGGGGACGAGGAGTTTGAGATACCACCCATCCCCCTAGATGCCGACCCTTCACTGGCAGTCTCTGACGTGGTGGGGCACTTTGATGAGCTGGGGCTTCTCTACTCAGTATGGCGTGCAGGGCCTCGACATGCCCGTGGGCATGAACCACGGCCTCATGGAGCAGGGCGGCGGGCTCCTGGCAGGGGGGCTGGCCATGGTGAGGGCCTGGGCAGGGCAAGGGGTGGGGTGGACAGATGGTGTTGCAAGGCGCTGCCCGGGAGAGGCACTGTGCTCTTCATGGGTGGCTGGGGGGTTCGTGCTGGGAGGGCTGGTACCAGAACACAGCAGGCTGGAGGATTGCAGGGGGCTGGTGCTGCAGAGGGCAGTGCCTCCCTGTGCCAGCTCCCCAGCTTTGTGTCTGTCCCCCCCAGGACCTGGATCACTCCATGGGCACCCAGTACAACGCCAACCCACCCGTCACCATCGACGTGCCCATGAGCCCTGGGGCACTGATGGGGCATGGGTCCGAGCTCAGCTCCCAGTTGGGCCTGAGCCTGGGGGCGGCCCCCATCCTGCCGCCTGCTGCCCCCTCGCCTGAGGAGCGGCTCTCCACTACACCCTCCCCCACCAGCTCCCTGCAGGAGGATGAGGCTGAGGAGTTCAGACGGGTGAGATGCTGCTGGCCCGGCCGGCACCCACGCCTCCTCCCCTCAGCCTGGCCAGCTTCCATCCCACACATGGGCCCCGCTGCCATCCACATTTCCTGGCCCCCATGGGCTCAGTTGCGCCCCTTGGCTCTGCCAGTGCCCCTTTTTCCTGTTCTGTGCCCCTCCACAGCTCTGCTGGCTCCTACAGGCCCCACTGGGCCCTGCTAGTGCTCAAAGCTCCTGCCCTCTGGCCCCACCTTTGTGCTGCAGAAGGTGACACCTGCCTTTCTCTCCAGCAACAGCAACAGCAACAGCAGCAGCAGCAGCAGCAGCAGCAGCAGACAGGGGGGGCACTGGACACGGGACGGAAGCAGAAACCTGCCAAGAAGCAGAAGAAGAAGAAGGACCCGAACGAGCCGCAGAAGCCAGTCTCGGCCTACGCCCTATTCTTCCGTGACACACAGGCCGCCATTAAGGGCCAGAACCCCAATGCCACCTTTGGGGAGGTCTCCAAGATCGTGGCCTCCATGTGGGACAGCTTGGGCGAGGAGCAGAAACAGGTGGGGGCAGGCGGGGATCACAGATTATCATAGAACATTAGGACTGGAAGGGACCTCGAGAGGTCATCGAGTCCAGTCCCCTGCCCTCATGGCAGGACCCAGCACTGTCTAGACCATCCCTGATAGACGTTTATCTAACCTGCTCTTCAATATCTCCAGAGATGGGGAGTCCACAACCTCCCTGGGCAACTTATTCCAGTGTTTAACCAGCCTGACAGGAAGTTTTTCCTAATGTCCAACCTAAACCTCCCTTGCTGCAGTTTAAGTCCATTGATTCTTGTCCTGTCCTCAGAGGCCAGGAAGAATAATTTTCTCCCTCCTCCTTTTGACACCCTTTTAGATACCTGAAAACCACTCTCATGTCCCCTCTCAGTCTTCTCCTTTCCAAACTAGACAAGCCCAGTTCTTTCCGTCTTCCTGCACAGCTCATGTTCTCCAGACCTTTCATCATTCTTGTTCCTCTCTGGACTTTCTCCGATTTCTCCACATCTTTCTTGAAATGTGGTGCCCAGAACTGGACACAGTACTCCAGCTGAGGCCTGACCAGCACAGAGTAGAGCGGAAGAATGACTCCTCGTGTCTTGCTCACAACACTCCTGTCAATGCCGCCTAGAATCATGTTGGCTTTCTTTGCAACAGTGTCACACTGTTGACTCGTATTTAGCTTGTGGTCCACTCTGACCCCTAGATCCCTTTCTGCCGTACTCCTTCCTAGACAGTCACTTCCCATTCTGTGTGTGTGAAATGGATTGGACGTTGAGCGAGGGGGGCTGAGTACAGGCAGGTGAGGGAGGGGCGAGGGTGGCTGGGCTAGGAGCAGGCAGGTGGGATGGGATGGGCATTGCTGTTGACTCTGTTCCTCCTGGCCAGGTGTACAAGCGGAAGACAGAGGCGGCGAAGAAGGAGTGCGGGTGGTGCGGGGGGGGGGGCCGCGCCCCCCCCCCCCGCCACAGCTGGGCTGGCCTGCTCCCATGTCTCTGAGTCCCCTCGCTGCCCCCGGCAGGACACTCACTGGCTCAGTGGGTTTGTGTCACTCTCCATCCTGTACCGGGCATCGGCACTCAGCCCTATGTGGCTGGTCCGTGCCCCATGGATCTCAAGCAGGCTGGGCTTGCTGGAGAGGGGAGAGGAGAGGATGTGGAGGGGGCAGGTTAGAGCAAACGGCCCAGGCAGTCCAGTGAAACCATAGCAGGTTCTCCGAAGGCCCTGGCTCAGCAGCCCGTCCCCAGCACT